TCTTACTGGGTTTTGCTTAAAATATACAACTTTTTATATTAAAAAATAAAAATTTTGAAATAAAAATGATCACACAAGCACACTTTTTTACTACCGATTTTGTCATTTCGAGACCGATTTTGTCATATTTTTACATGTTATATTGTTATGGATCGATACATTATTATAAAGTATCGACACTTTATTGGCGCTATAACTTCTTTTCTTTTAAATTCCAAAAGTGTCGATATTTATAGTAAAGTATCGACACTTTCAACATATCCGGTAGCTCTTTACCGGTTTTGTCATTTCGAGACCGGTTTTGTCATATTTTTACATGTTATATTGTTATAGATCGATATATTTTTATAAAATATCGACACTTTATTAGCGCTATAACTTCTTCTCTTTTAAATTCCAAAAGTGTCGATACTTATAATAAAGTATCGACACTATCAACATATCTGGTAGCGCTTTACTTGTTTTGTCATTTATAGACCGGTTTTGTCATTTTTTTTACCTGTTATATTGTTATGGATCGATACAATTTTATAAAGTATCGACACTTTCAATATATCCGGTAGCGCTTTACCTGTTTTGTCATTTATAGACCGATTTTGTCATTTTTTTACCTGTTATATTGTTATGGAACGATACATTTTTATAAAGTATCGACACTTTCAATATATCCGGTAGTGTTTTACCTGTTTTGTCATTTATAGAGCGATTTTGTCATTTTTTTACCTGTTATATTGTTATTGATCGATACATTTTTATAAAGTATCGACACTTTCAATATATCCGGTAGCGCTTTACCTATTTTGTCATTTATAGACCGATTTTGTCATTTTTTTACATGTTATATTGTTATGGATCGATACATTTTTATAAAGTATCGACACTTTCAATATATCTGGTAGCGCTTTACCTGTTTTGTCATTTATAGACCGGTTTTGTCATTTTTTTTTACTTGTTATATTGTTATGGATCGATACATTTTTTATAAAGTATAGACACTTTCAATATATCTGGTAGCGCTTTACCTGTTTTGTCATTTATAGATCGGTTTTGTCATTTTTTTTACCTGTTATATTGTTATGGATCGATACATTTTTATAAAGTATCGACATTTTCAATATATTCGGTAGCGCTTTACCTCTTTTGTCATTTATAGAACGGTTTTGTCATTTTTTTACCTGTTATATTGTTATGGATTAATATATTTTTATAAAGTATCGACACAAACCGACAAGTTAAGTTTGCCGGTTGCCAAATTTTTTAATTTTTCTTCATGATTTCCACCTATTACATTATTATTACTCGATATTTCCGGTAGCACTAAACCGAATTTATTAAATATCTTTTAATGTATCCGATAACACCGTATATTAGTCCGCATTTCCTAAGACAATCGATGTTAAATTTTGTTATGTTTATCAGTCGTTGTGACATTAACGGGTATTGTAGAATGGGTTGAAGGTCAGCTATTGTGTGTTTATGACCATCACTTAAGATGCTTTGGATGGCAAGTGGATTTTGAGGAGGAGAACGTGAGATTTAGATTTTAAGATGCGAAACCACAAGTAAATTTTAATTCAAAATTTGAGGATCAAAACAATAAATTTTGAGGGTCAAAATTATGTTTATGCCAATTTATAATATTTTCATAATATGAAGTATAATATTGTCATAGGTCGGCATGTTTTATTGCTAAGAGCTGAAAGCTGAGGCTGATGATGAAGGCCAATAGGCAAGGCCAGAAATGGAAAGTGTGCAGTGAAAGTACTTGCGAACCATCAAATACATTGTAGAGATAGTAAAAGCTATCTAACCAGACCATCACCTTTCACTATCCCATTAAAACTCAACCACAATTATCCTGCATCTTATATTAGAAGGTAAATTTTTAAAATTTTAGGAGGAGATGGATTTATAAAATTATAATAAACGAAAATAAATAATTAATTAAAAATATAAATAAAGTATCTAAAATATATAATAATTTAAAATTTTTATGAGAACGACTATCTCAATCCGTCTCCCTTCGATCCATCCCTATGTGAATTACCAGCCCTGTAGCTGCCTGGACAAGAGAGGCTCATACCTAGGCCCAGAATTGAAATGTTCACATATAACTAAAAAAAGAATAAATAACCTATTTAGTCATTTATCTATTACTCTAATTCAATTATTATTTTTTCAAATCATACATAATATTATGTTTTAATTTTGTTTTTATCCCTCACCGTTAATATATTAATGACGACACTGGAATGATATTTTTAAATTATTTTTTCAATTTCCATGTGATTATTCTTTTATTATCTTTTTTTTTGAGTAGTTGAATGTTTAATAAAATTTCTTATTATTTTGGTATAATGTCAAAAAATGTCCATAACATTTGACCAAATAGTCAAATTGGTTCATATTATTTTTTTGGAGCATTTTTGCCCTCGGTATTTTATTTTGGGGGTAAAAAGGCCCTTATGTGAATGAAAATCATTAGTTAACAAACGGATAACACTCCAAAATAGAAGATTTTCTCCTAAAATGAAATGTTGAAGGCCAAAATGCTCCAGAAATAAGAATAAGGGCCAAAGTGAATATATGATCAAACATTAGGAATTTTTTTGCTCGAAAATGAAACGTTAGGGCAAAAATACTCCAGAAAAAAAATAATAAAGGTTAAAATGATTATTTGATCAAACATTAGGAAATTTTTTAACCTAAAATGAAATGTTAGGGCCAAAATACTTCAAAAAATAGGGGTCAAAATGATAATTTTATTAAACATTAGGGATTAATTTTGATATTATACCTAACATTTTCTATTTAAAATTTATTTTATTTATTAGATACGTTGTTAAGTGTAATAAAAATATATTTTATAAATAAATAAATTTATTTTTATTTACTCTTACAATTTAATTTTCTTTTTACTATTTATTATTAAAGACTTAAATTTTACGTTCACTCTTAAATTATCAAACCCTGTACCTCCCCACACGTGTTGCAGTGTACCAATTTAAAGTCTAAAAAAGGACAAATATCCTTAATCCAAATTGCTCATTTTTTAAATTTTTTTCAGCTTTCTTTTTCTTGCTTTTCTTTCTAATACGTTAATCTAAGTCATACCTAATTTTTTTTTTCTTATAAATTTCAGGGTAAATTATATCTATGACCATTTAAATGATGCTTAATACCTCTTTGGCCATGCTTCTTTTTAGTTCATTTTTGATAATATTGAGCGAAAATTGGCAAAACGTAGGAAATGTAACTTAAAAAATTTAAGCATATCCTTAATTATTGTAATGTGTGTCTTATTCTCTAAATTTTGGTTTGTATTGTGTTATGTGTGCAAGGGAAGAGAAGGGAAGAGACAATATATAATAGTATTAATTCGTTTGCTTTGATATTTTCAGTAATGTGATAAATGATTAAAATTTTGATAAATAAGTCACAAATTACAATAATTAAGGATGATAATGTTGCTTATATATAATTTTATATTTTTATTATCTAATTTAAGATATTGTATATTTATATAAAATTTAATATGTAAACCATTTGAATTACATAAATCTCAATAATTTCATTTGTTCTTGTTGAATTTGTATTTTTTATGTTGTTAAGAGAGAAATTTTTATGTTGGTAAAATAAAATATTAAAAAATATATATAATTTAAAAAAAAACTATCTAGTAATGATCATAACTGATAATATATATATATATATATTGTAATGAATATGAATTTGATCTTTAGATGAATACTTTTTAATTATTTTATTTAAGTTTATATGGAAGTGTGAAATGAAAAATGTATAATATAATAAAAATATTTTAATAATTTATAATTTAATTGACATCAGATTAGTTATGACACTAATTTAATTGGAGAGTTTAACAATAATAGATATTGATATAAAAACTAAAAAGTGGACTATTTTCAGAAATAACTTCTGTATGCTGCTTGTTAAAAATCGAAAATATATGCACATAGAAAAATATATTTGAAAATTTTAATAGAAAATAATATGCAGTATATTTTCCATTTTATTTTTTTATCAAATCAAATTAGCTTTGATAATAATCTATTTTAAATTCATATTTAATCTGCTAATGATGTATACAGATAGTAAATCCAAATAATATTTCATAACAAAAACAAAAATTATTTAGATTTATTTTATTTTTTTTAGTTATCCTCCAGGTTCCCAAGACTTCATTTTGATTAATTTGGACTAACTCGCATCGTACATCTGGTTTTGGTGGTGAGTCTCACAGCAAGAATTTTCTGCTTACACAAGGGCTCAAACTCGAGACTTGATTAAACTATATTAAGTTACTTACCATTTGAACAAATCTCATTAATTATTTAACTTTATTTTTCATAATGTAACATGATTTTATTTAATGATAATTCATAGATTTATACCAACTCATCAAACACTAACCTTTTATTTCTAAATTCATATTTTAGAATACATTTCCAAAACTTCGGAATCAAAATTTACATTTTTATAAACATAATTTTAGATTTGATTTCAAACTATTCTTATCCTTTTGGAAAAAATAAACATAATTTTATAAAAGATAGATTTTCAATAATATATATATATATATATATATATATATATATATAATTTTTTAAAATATATAATAATTTTAAAATTTTCAGCCTAATGCACCACCTGATCCCTCGTTCATCACTGACGGTGAATAACTTGGGGCAAAAACTAGGCGTACAGATGACAGACCAAACAGCGAGAAACAAAGTTAAAGCAAAATTGTGGGATAGAAAGAAAAAAAAACACTAAAAACTCAAATGTATAAAGAAAACAAGGAGGAGGAAACAGGAAGGGGTTTCCATTTTTATTGCAAAAGAAGAATCAGCGAGCTTTCCCTTGCGCATAATTTGCATTTATTTAGCCTCTTAAAACTTTCACTGCTCTAGGACCAATAATCATTTATTTTCCTATCCATTAATTCATCTTCCTCACTTCACCTCTGACCAATACTTAAAAAGTGTTTGCTTCATTGTTCAATCAAAAGAGAAAAATGGGGAGAGGAAGAGTGGAGCTGAAGAGGATAGAAAACAAGATCAACAGACAGGTGACTTTCTCTAAGAGAAGAAATGGGTTGCTCAAGAAAGCTTATGAGCTTTCTGTGCTTTGTGATGCTGAGGTTGCCCTTATCGTCTTCTCTAATCGTGGCAAGCTCTACGAGTTTGGAAGCTCTGGGTATTTTTACCATTACCATGAAAATCTCTCTCTAGTTTTATTCACCAACTTGTCTGCTAAAGATTGCTCTTTCACAAACATCTGACATGTATCTCCCTCTCTTTGCTTTCGGAAACTAGAGTTTACCAGCTTGTTTCCCAATGGCAGATCGACAAGTTTCATCTCATTAGATTCTTCCTTGTCTATCTTAACCGGGTCTTTTACTCTTGGATATGTTGATGTTTTCACTGATCAGCGTGGGACTTGGGAGTACTAGTATTAGTACGAACGACTGATCGAGACTCTTTTCTTTCACCTAAAACCCGAAACAAAAGTGCAGAAAACTAGACTGATGTTTTCTTCTGACTCCTTTGCAAGATCTAGGGTTTCCCTTTGTCTTGTACCTATAATCTCCTGGTTTTGTCAATGTTTCTTATTTTCATGTCTTTTCTAAGAGCTGTAACATTCATCATACGGAAGTTGTAAAAGGCTGACAAAATGAAGCACACCAGTGTCCATAAACATTCATATTTCTTTAGATTCTTGGGGGAATCCCTGAGGCTCACATGAGCTTGTCTTTTTCCTTCTTTCTTTTTGATTCTCTGTGCACCAATCCATGTCCTCAGTTCGATTTTTGTATTTGTTAATTGTTATATATCGGCCTCATACAGAACTCGCCTTCGTCTCTCTCTAACCCTCAGCTTTATGTTTGATCCAAAATGTTCAATTTTCTCTCTCTTTTTTACAGCATATAACTCATTATTGTGTGTTTATATAAACTGATAATCACTTTTAATTTCGTTTTTGCAGTACGACCATGACCCTTGAGCGATACCAACAATGCTGCTTTACGCCTCAACCTCAACACAACTTCCCTGAACGTCAAACGCAGGTTAATTACCAACTTCATCAACATAACTATGTTGTGTCTGACTTCAACCTAACCCTTTGCTTATCGATGCAGAATTGGTCCCAAGAGGTAATCAAACTGAAGGCAAAATACGAAGCAATGGAACGCACTCAAAGGTTTTTATGTCGTGTCTGAGATCAAATTGAAGACTAATTAGCTGTATTCTCTAATTCAGTTTGTGTGTATACTTATATCAGACATTTGCTTGGAGAAGATCTTGGACCATTGAATCTGAAAGAGCTGCAAAACCTAGAGAAGCAGCTTGAAGGAGTTCTTGCACTGGCTAGACAAAGGAAGGTCTATATATACCCTCTTTAATTCTTAAACAAACAAATTAAGTTGCCTTGTTTCATTTTATTTGTCTACTATATAGTTGAAATAAAACATGATATAAGCTGTTTCTCGTTATTATTATCTGCAGACACAGATAATGATGGAGCAAATGGAAGATCTCCGGAAAAAAGTAGGATATTTTGCTTAGTTTTACACTTCCAAAACTCATATTTAACAGCTTCCTTATACATCTTTTGGCAGGAGCGTCAGCTTGGAGAGCTCAACAAACAGCTGAAAAACAAGGTCATATATAATTCTTCATGACAATATGTTGTTTGGTATTCTTCTACTGTTGCACCTGTCACGATAACCATATTTCATTGTATTTTGCTTGAATCTCAGCTTGATGCACAAGCACAAAGCCTGAAAACAATCCAAGGCTTGTGGGGTTCAAGTACCAGAGCCGAAAGTAGCGACTTTGGGCTGCATCTTTCTCACCCTAACCCCATGGAATGTGAACATGAACCAGTTTTACAGATAGGGTACAGTGTATTTAGCAGAGCTTAATTCAGGTATAAATATAGTGTTTGTTTTCTTACGATGAATTTGATGACGTGGTATTAGGTACCAGCATTATGTTGAAGCTGATGGATCGTCGGTCCCCAAAAGCATGGCTGGTGAGACCAACTTCATCCATGGATGGGTCATTTGAGCCATCTCCAACTCACACTAAAATACAAATCATATATATATATATATATATATATGATGTGAGGGTATTTCTAATGTTGCCAACATATATATACTTAAAAGACGATGCTCAAAATAAAAAAAATTACACGGATTTTAACTTTTAATGGAGCATATATCTTCTCTAGCTCGATTATATATATAATTCAAGGAATTAAATAATAGTTTGTTATTTGAATAGTGACTGTTATATAACGTTTTGATATCCGAAACTATTATTACATGATTGTGATATCCGTAATTAATACAATAACATCTGTTATGCTCACAATCACAATAAACATAATGCAACAAAAAATACAATTGCAATCTATATTTAAGCCTTCAAGCATATTGTTTTCTCATATATATATATTCACTTTAATTTGATTATAGTTTATGGTTAATTTATTGGATGATTGTTAGATTAAACATTATACAAATTTATTATGAATACTTTTTCTAATCTATTTTTTTCAATTCTCAATATCAAATTTTAAATATTGATTTTTATTCAATAAATTAAAATTTTCATACGATTAAATTAATTAATTGGTGGTATTATTCAATTTGATTATGGTTAGTATTAAACTTGCAATAAATTATATGATTTTTGGTCTTGTAAAGTGATGTCTAAAATTTGAATATTTGGCTTAATGGTAATAGTATATATTCCTAATTCTTTGACATCTCGTTAGTTAAATTATGTCTTGTTGTTTTTAGATATTTATATTTTGAATTTAATCACTATTATGCTATTTTTTATGTCCAAATTATAAAATTATATAATTTTTATATTAATAATTTTAAGCAAATTTTAATATTTTTTATATGTATGTTATGTTTAGGTTATTTTTCAAGACATGACATTTTTATTTGTTTAAAAATAAATAATTATACTGTTTTACATAATTAAATATTATATTTAAACTTTATATTGATTTTTTGAAATATATTACAGTTCAATTAAAATTAAAGTATTCCAAAAAAATCTTTCTAATCTATACCAATAAATAAAAGGGTAAAATACGAAAAATAATGATTCACTTTTTTATTGAATCGTCCAACTATAAAAAATTATAAAATGATTAGTCAACTTAAAAAATAATAAATTAATTATCTTTCAATAAAAAATGATGGGACGATATGTCAATTAAAAAATTAGCATAATAATAAATCTAATTCTTAACTTTTTACACTTTATTTTAATTCTATCATAATTCTAAAAGTATTAACTATCAATAAAATATCCTACCAATTTGATCCCTCTCCTTTTCTATTTATTCTTTCCTTCACCATCTTCTCCCTTCTTTTATTCCTACGTGAAAAAAAAAGCTAGTTGGAGACCGAGACATATTATTCCACAATTATTATGGCTCACCAACGACTTTTAAATTTTGTACAACCATCTAGGTGATGGTTCATCAACCTATAATGCATATAAATGATCAGTTTTGATAGAATATTATTCTCCTTAGATGACCCGGGTTCAAACAATTATGTTTGTAGAGTGTGTATATGTTTTCAATAAACTAATTTTGTAATCGCCCAAGACAATTAAAAAAATTTAAATGTATCTTGCTTTATGGCAGATGAGTTTCCAGTTTGCAGGCAAAGCTTTAAATTCTGCACTTTGGGTTGCAGCTATGCCATTGTGCATGGAGTTGATGTGTTATTTTGTTTGGGGAGGAAAGTGTTTATTGATGGAGGAAGAGAGTAAGGGAAAGGATGGTACAGGGGAGAAGAAATAGAAAAGAAAAATATCAAATTGGTAAAGTATTGAAATAATAAAAGTTAATTTTTAGAATTAGTGTCAAATTAAAACAAAATGTAAAAGTTTGAGTTAAATTTATTATTATATCAAGTTTATCCTATACATTATCTAAATGATTAATGTATTATTTTTTAAGTTGGGTGATCATTTTGTAATTTTTATATAGTTGGGACTAAAAAAAATTTTATAGTTAGGGATCTATTTGTGTATTTTATTCTTTTATATGTAACTATTTGATTGAGAGTTCAAAAATAGTGTAAGACAAGCAAAGGAACATGCGGTTGTTTTGCGAATTTCTCAGGCGGCAACAAGTAAAAACCATGCAGTCTTGAATATAACTGGCTTGATATTTTAATTGGCAATGTTTTAAGTTTTTAAGCCATGGTTTAATGTTTGCTGTTCATTTTCTTGGACCACCTTGATTGGGGTTTTAAAGCAAGATTATAGGAGCTAAATACTACAAGCTTGATGGCAACTCCGACCCTGCTGACATTTTATCACCGATAGACATGGATGGTGATGACACAGAGTCAGACACTTCAACACTATCAGGTTCAAGATGCTCAAATTTTTATGGCACCACCGACCATGGTGAATTCAACTGTTGGAGAAACTATACAAAATTATACACATTCTACAGGGGATTGATTACTGATGTTGTTGAATGATTCCCTGTTGATAATGATCAACGCTGAAACCATCAAATGAAGAATTGGCAGCTCACCTTCAGCAGTGTCTGAGGAAGTAAATATTCCTGCTCTCTTTGTTGATTCAGTTTCATCTCGGGGTCCGAATCCGGACTTACGGAAAATTCTCAAGGTATATAAGCTTTGAATTCTGTCTTTAAACCAGGAAAAAGAATAGTTCTTTTTTCTGTCGATCACTGAGCGCTGGATATCCAAAACCAAGTGTTTTTTGCACACCCTGGTGTAGCCTGATATTGCAGCTCCTGGCGTTGACATCTTGGCAGCTTAAACTTACAAAATCACTTACAGGGCTCAAAGGTGACACCCAACATTCAAAGTTCACTCTCATGTCCGGCACTTCAATGCCTGCCCACATCCACATGTTGCAGGTTTTGCAGCCTATGTAGAATCATTTCACCCTACTTGGACACCGGCTGTGTTCAAATCCGCAATCATGACCACAGGTAAAGATGTTAATGATTCTTACTATTCTTAATGTAATCTACTTCAGTGTTATCAGCCCTGACTCTCTTACTTTACACATACTAACAACCTACGTAGCAAAGTCGATGAATCAGAAGATAAACAGGGATGTCGAGTTCGCCTACGGTACTGGTCAATTGAATCCTGCAAGTCATAAACCCTTGAATTCTACAAGAGCCATAAACCCTGGCCTAGCCTATGACATTGATGACATATCTTATGTACAATTACTATTCCATTAAGGCTACAGTGGATCATCTATAGCTCATATAGTTGGAACAAAATCCAGAAACTGTTCCTCAATCCTTCCCAGGTTTGGCTATGATGCTCTTAACTACCCGTCGATGCAACTCAACATGAGAAACGGCCAACCACCAACAGCAAACCGTAAGTGTTTTCAGGAGAAGAGTCACCAATGTAGGTACTCCGTCTGTGTATCTCATACCTCGCTTAGAAGTTAGAAATCATAGTGATGGCAGTAATAAAAAAGTTTTAAGAAAAACCCTTACATAATACTATTATGATGGCAACATGTAATGCAGGTCAATTGTGAAAATGCAATGCTTGAAGAATTACATTTTTCTAAAATAAATTTATGCTAATGTAACATTATCCAACAACACAATAGAATGCTAAATTCTGTTTAATTCAAGTCAAACGGTGTACCATGATATTATATTTGGCCTGAGTGAATCAGCAAGCAGAAAAGGGGGCATACATTGGTACAAAGTTATATATATAACAGCATTCATGCCTTGTCGCCTCCTTTCCGGAGTTTCTCGAGTTCTGCTTCAGCTTCTGATAACTGTTGCTTTAACATCGATGTTCTTTGCTCGAGTTCTTCAACTGTTCCTCTTTTGCAGGATGGTTGATATGGTGAAAGAAAATGAAGGGAAAACGCTTTCAGAGCTTCAACCCCAGTAACCTGATATATACCATACCATTGACAATTGATTGCGGATCTCAAAACTTTTGGAAATCAACAAACAAAAATAGAAAAATATCAACTAATGGGAATTTTATATTATTACTGATTTACTTATAGTTGAACTCACCTCTTGTGGGAGCAGTGGCAGCTTAGTGATGTTAAAGTCATCATATAACATGTAAAATTGGTCAATGTACTTTTGTTGCATCCGCATTCTTGCTTTTAATAACTTGGACACTACAACTTCAATTAAAATGCAGACCAATTAATGGTGGTAAGCTTTTTATTTAAGCAACAATCGTAATGGAAAGAATGGAAAATGAGAGATAGAGTATGAAAGTAAGCATACCTTCATCATCGAAAATTACTTGGTTAATGATAATATTATGTGTATCAATTTCAACCTTGGTGAGTTCCTGCACCAGTCTCTCTGTTTCATAGAGAGAGAGGAACTCTGGAATGCAAACGCAGACAAAGGTCGTCAAGTCCTGACAAAATGAAACTGGATTATACCAAAAGCATAGGCACTTCGAGAAAGTTCGATTGAGATCAAAACAAAAGCCATGTGGTATAAGTTTCATCAAGTTACAAGAATTCAAGAAATTCCAAATGAAAAGGGGAACTTTTTTTTGAAAAAAAAAACACTTCACAAGTTTTTAACATTTGTAAGTTTAAGAGGTATTTCAGAAATTTCACTATGAAAAGAGAAAACCTTTTTCATAAAAATAGAATATTAACATGTTATGTTTAACACATTGTGTATAACAGACAATATTTCTGGTATATTATGATGGGCAAGCTTTGTATGCTAGATTACTCCACTTCATTTGTCAGAGAGCATAGCAACCTTCTATATGTTTTTAAAGCTCTTAATATGCTAAATTAGGACCAAGAGCATAGAGCAAGTTACCCCTGATGGCTCCCAGGCAGATCATTGTCAAACTTCCAGTTATATTTCATCATATGATGATAAAATCAAAAACTAAAACAGAAAATTGTACGAGGAAAACACTAGAGAATGGCAACTTACCGGGTCTTTGAACTGCTTATTAACTTGTTCAATCACATCTTTCATGCCTTCAAGCCTCCCCAAAATTGCATCCTCCCCAAATTCATCATCAATCCCGAACATACGGGTCATCTGCCAACATGAGTTCCAAATTTTATGAGCTGCAACATAAAGAAAACCAACCAGGAAATAGTAGCAACAGAAACACTTGTGAGCTGATATGTGAGGTATGAAAAAAATGAATATAATATCCCCATGCTATACAAACTTTACAATGATATAGAAGACAAACTTGGAAGGAAGCATTGAGGGAATTGATCACTTGGAATATGATTCAAGAAAGAATAATAGTTTCCTAAAAATACCGCTAAAGGTCAACACAAAATTTTATTATCTATGGGCCCATTGTTGAGAGAAAATTCTTGGAAGACCAGCTGAGAAAATATCGGAGAACAGGACATACTAGAACATAAAGTTATACCTGACTCAATAAGCCACCAAATTTGCTTTTCAAAGACATCATTTTTCCAAGTCCCTTCTCTAATGTAGCAGGAAACTGTAAAAGCCGAAGTGTATGTCCAGTTGGGGCAGTGTCGAATACAATGCAAGAATAATCCATTGATTGCACCAACCTGCAGGAACGGATCATATTCATACAACAAAAGATCAAAAGGTAGATGGAAAAACTCTGCTGACAAAGAGCGTGCAAAACAAAGTTTACGAAGAAAGAAACCATCAAAATTAATCTTGAAACATTTGGAAAGCGAAGGGATATTTTTCAAATAAATCCTAACATCACTTCAGTTGTCCTAGGCAATACTTGAATGTACGAATTCAAACTTTCAAAGTTAAACCTAGAGAATATGTCCAATTGGCGCAGCTGAAATTATTCTTTCTCCTAAACAAGAATGTAATATAATGGATTCTTTTTTTAGGCTTTTGGCTGAAAATCATAACATTAATTAAGAACACACTGATAGAGAGTCGAAAGCCTTTAATAAAACCGCCATAGTAAGTATGAACTCATTCCGAAAATATTTATATAAACAAAAAAATGAAAAAGAAGCAATGAGTAGCTAATGCATCTCTTCGGCTTTGCTTGATTGAGTGGGAAAATGGAAAGATAGAAGAAGAGGGTGGAAAAGTGGAAACAAAATAAATTTCAAATATACTTGGTAGGAAAGAAAAGTGAGAAGAAAGAAATGAGAGTGACGGTCATTACAATTTGAAAAGAAAAGGAGAAAGAAAATGTGAGGCAAATGTAAGCTAGGTCGAAGTTATGTATTTTTCCAAGCCTAATTTTATTTCCTCTCATTTGTTCAACTGTACCAAGCAATGGATGAAAATAAAATTACATTTTCTTTCAATTTTTTCATCCTTACCACCAAGCACAAAATATATTTTCTATCTTTTCACTTTTCTACCCCTTCAATTTTCCATTGTTCCAATTTTCTTTCGGCTCTACCAAGCAAATCCTTAATGATTTATCACAATCAAAGTATCAAACAAGAGAGAAGTCTTACTTAAGCATCTCAGCAAAGCTCATTGCCTCATCAATTCCAGGAATTGCATTTGCCAAGTCAGAAAATAAACCATCCATTCCTTCAGGCCCATTCACATCTTCATTTTCCACAGTAGGATCCACCTCCTATTATGGCATCATTAGAAAGAAATTAAGGGAAATAGTGACAAGCTATCAATCAGCACAATCATATAATGAAGTTTCTAACGAAGAATTTATCCCTAATAAAGAAGCCAAGCATTAACAAGGGTGGATACATTAGGACCATTACCAGGTTTCAATTGAAAGAAGTTAAAACTGGAGAATTTGGGTGTTGACAAATTCAAGAAAGAAAATCGAACTATCCATAAATCAGCAATCAAACTCAAGACTAAACTAAGAATTGCTTACCTCCTTTTTTATAAACAATGGAAATAAATCTCAAAATTTGAAATACAAAGCAAATCCACGAATACCCAGAAAGAAGATTTAAATAAGAAGGGCTTACCATGGCATATAAATTGTTGAAACCATTGACCAAAGTGGGAGTCTTTGTGAATCGCTGTTGAAAAGCATCGCTGAGATTATGAGCAGGATCCGTGGATATAATGAGGACAGAGGATCGGACCCGAGCCAAGAGGATGGAAAGAATCGAGCTACAAGTGGTTTTACCCACACCTCCTTTGCCACCAACAAAAACCCATTTCAAGCTCTCTTGGTCCAGTATGTTCTGGATAGTTGCCTCTGGTAATTCATGATTGTCTGCCATTTTTCTAACACAGCCTATTTGCTTCTTCTTCTTCTTTTTCTTCTGTAATCACCGAAGAAGGAATTGAAGTGCTTAGAAAATCTAGGAAGAAAACCGGAGTTATATTTGTCGGGGGATGTTCTCTTCTTTTCTTGGTTTCTTGTTCTCAAAACAAGGTATAGAAAACCCAACTCGAGAAGTTAGACATTGGATTGGATATATGCCCAAGCGACGCATGGATGAATATATTTGCAAGGGAAGGGCTGTTCATTCCGATAAAACCGAATCGAATCGAACCGAATCAAATCGAATTAACTATAATCGAATTAATCGAATTTTTTTTAACTGTTAATCGAATCAAATTTTTTTTCGAAAATATTAACTGAACCGAATAAATTTTGGTTAATTCGGTTAATTTTCGAATTAACCGATTTTTTTAAAAAATTTTTAATTTATATAAAAATTAAATATTTTTTAATTCAAAAAAAGGTTTATAATTAATTTAAATAATATATAATATTGATTTAGGTTTAAAAATTATTGGATCTTAAATTATTAATTAGATTTTAAATGGTTTGGGCTTAGCCCATATGTTATATATAATATATTTAATATTTTTTAATTAAAAAAATAGTTTACAATTAATTTAAATAATATATAATTATAAAATAAAAATTTTATATAAATTTTTTTAATTAATTAATATTTATTTAGGTTTAAAAGTTATTGGATCTTAAATTATTAATTGGGTTTTAAATGGTTGGTGCTGAGCTCATATGTTATATATAAAATATTTAATATTTAATTTCGATTAATTCAATTAATTAACTGAATTCGAACCGAATTAACCGTTAACCGAATTTTAAAAATTTTCTTAACCGTTAATCAACCGAACTAATTCGATAACCGAACCGAATTAACCAAACTAATTCAGTTCGATCGGTTAACCGAATTAATTCGATTATTTGAACACCCCATGCAAGGGTGTGTAGATTTTGTAATTAAATTTTAAAAAGTTTTATTTCTAACATTAAATTTTTTATATTATTTTTTATTAAAAAGTTAAAATTTTAACAGTAGAAGGATGTGTTAGTGTAATGCTGACGTAAATTTAATAATTTTATTCTTTTATTATCTTTCCTATTTAAAATTAAGATTTTTCATTTGTTCATCGTTGAAAATAGTCTTTCTATTCATTTGTTCATCGTTGAAAATTATCTTTCTATGAGTCTTATTTCTATAGCTTTATTAGTTTAAATTTTTTGTTTTTTAAAAAATTTACAAAATTAAATAACTCGTAGTTCTCTACCATTTTATTAGTTTAATTTTTTTTTTAAAATCAAATTTATGAAATTAAATATATATATATATATATAATTTTAACTGACTTGAAGCTTTCTCGAATATAGGGTTTAGGGTTTGTAGTGTTTGCTAAAAAATTAAAGGGTAAGAAGTATACTTTTAAAAAGATGAACAACATAAACTCAAAACTAATTTAATCGTAAGGTAGTTAGAAGAACTTGGGTTATTAGAACATCAAACCTTTAGATTAATTTTTATTGATTTTGAGTGAATTTTGTAAAAATCAAAATGAGAAAAAAGAAAAGAAAATACGAACATTTTGATATTAATTTTACTACAAATGGCGATGGTCGATAACATACGACAAGTGACCTAAAACGAAGATCAAACAAGTTGAAGACTTCGTATAGAAAATAGAGGAAAACGATTACGTCTAGTTAATGATTTACCAGTCCAACAATAAAAATTTAATGTTGATAATGGCAAAACTAAAACTTTGTAAAGTTTAATGATAAAATAGTACAAAGACTAAAATTCAATGACTAGCGTCAGAGTTTATCCTTTGTTTTTTCAGTTTATTAAAATTCGTTAAAAAGTTTGATGATGATATAAATATATAAAGTTAATATTTACCTTAAATATAAGCAATTGTTACTAAATTTTATAATTTTATTCAATTTAGTCTTTGATTTTTTTTTCTCCACAACAATTTTAAGACTTCTTAAATAAAACTTTAATAAATATCACATTATTTTTTTTTTTTGTAAGAGGGTACTTTGTATTACTAAGGATTACAAAGTAAACCACTTTAAGGACCTTATTAAAAAACCTCCCTAATCCTAAATGGAGGAAAAAGAGTGTACCTTGAAGTGGTAAGGATCAACCAACACAAAAACTAACATCACACAATCCATCCCCCATCCCTATAAACCCCGACATATCATAAATAAGCCATCCCAGACAAACCAAAGGGGGCAAACACAAAACGGCATAACCAATGAAATAGACCAACACCTCTAACGTAACAACACCAGCATCCATAGCTTAAACTGAAGACAAGCACTGAGACTTAAGAAAGTCCCTTACAGAAACGGATCCATAGGAGAAGTGAGAACTTGAAGCTCGATAATCTAAAGAGCAAAGCAAACTTAAAAAATAGGCATCGGTTGCAAGCAGGAAACCCGAAGAAAAAATAGATCCCAAAATACCCAAGCTACCAAAAATAATCGGGTGAGGGCAAAAGCATAAAACCAAATAACAAGAACTTCACCAGACTGCCCAACAAACCAATTCAACTAAAACATAGCAGCACAGAATAGAAGTAGGCACCACGGACGATTGCTTCCAGTTTACACCCAACTTCGTTCACTACTGGAATCAATCGTCGGCCGAAGGAAGTTCGCCCAGACCCCGAAAACGTAACAGCACCCTAACTAGAACGAATGCAAGCACAAAGAAATGGAAACACACTTGTTGAACTTCCAAAGGAAATAACTCCCAAAAACCACTCCCTGCTGCCCTTTGCACTCTTCTTCTCAGGGCCAGCTTTGGGCAGGGCCAAGAGGGGCATCCGCCCAGGGCCCATAATTTTAATTTATATTAATTTATTTATATTTTAATAGACTAAATTAAAAATAAGGCTAATAAATATTAATATATCATTTTCTTATATTAATACAAGAGGGCCCATAAATTTATTTCTTATTGACTTATTGTTCTCATCATAACGTTAAAAAATATATTAATATACTAAATTAAAAGCAGGCCCATAAATATTAATAAACTAAATTAAAAGCAGGGCCCATAAACTTATTTCTTATTGACTTATTAAAAGAATGTTGTAATAATTTTAAGATTATTTTTTCTCATAATAATTTGTCGGAAGTTGATGCAGATGATTTTTTTCTGAAAATTAAGTGTTGCAATTGACTTTGCCAAATGTATTCATGTTAGCGCTTGAAGTTCTCGAGTTTGTTAAAGCTAGAGATTGTTATCCTAATGTTTCAATTGCTTATTGAATCTTATTAACAATGCTGGTAACAGTAGCATCCGCGGAAAGAAGTTTTTCAAAGCTGAAATTATTGAAGAATTACTTGAAGTCAATAATGTCACAAGAAAGATTGAATGGGCTAGCTATGTTATATATCGAGAAAAATATGTTAGAAAACATTGATGTTAACACTATCATCAATGATTTTGCATTAAGAAATGCTCGAAGATAATATTTTTTATAAGTATTTATATGTTTAAATATGCTTTTTGACATTTTTGATATTGTAATGAATTAATATTTATTTAATTTAATGAAAAAATTAATTAAAATTTTATATTACATATTTTTTAATATTCTTTTAAATTAGGTCCAATTTTTTTAATTTCAGAACCGGCCCTGCTTCTTCTTCTGTGTTTTAGGGAAATAATTCAACAAAGAGCCTGACTACCATTCATTCTGAAGAGAAGAAGTTTTACAACCACCGGTCTCTAATACGCCCACGTCAGAATAAAAAACTACTTCTAAAAAGGAAGAAATTTTCACTTTGCTAACCGAAGATGCTTCAACCCGAATACCTTCACACTCTGCCTTAAAGATGAAAAGTTTAAATTTGATGATTAAGTTTGAAAAAGAAATTATTAATTATATGCAATAAGCAAATTTCGATTTAGTAATTTATCCGCATGCATGATCTACTATACATACAAACTTGCATATAATATGCTTCAAATTTCCACATTCAAGATGTGGGTTATACAAAATTCATACGACTCCCTACTTAATTTAGCTCCATCTTCTCCATATCTCCTTGTTTCATTGTTTCTTAGTCATCTTCTACTTTGATCAAAAGCGTCCACCCAAGTAAATAAGCAGCCAAAGCAGCAACAGCGCCGGTCAAAAGGACCAAACCCACCGACACCGCGTAGCTTTTGCCACTAATCTTGGCCTTGGCTACACCAAGCAAGGTAAGCGCAATGGCGGACATGAAGCTAGCTCCAAGAAACATAACCCACTCATTGTCCGTAAATGGCTTCAGTACGATGAAAGATGAGAGCGGTGCAGAGCCGAAACCCACGAAAGTTACGATACCGTTCTTCAACGGCCTCTGCTCTGCTTGGTCAGGCGACATCACCCCTTTCTCCGCCGTCATCTTTTGGTCTCTCATTATGTTGTTATATTTGGAGAATATCTCCACCACCTTGCATATGTAATTAACATTTTGAGGCGCCATTGGTGAAAAATACAAAGAAACTTGGTTGAATGATTATTGGTTTACCGTGTTAGCGTCGTTGACGTCCATGCCAAGGTTTTGGTACTGCTGAAGGAGCTGTTGTTGTTGGTGTTTTCCATGGTTATTTAGTTCCCACTCCGTCACTGCCATTTCCTTGACAGCTAAGTCTTTCTTTGTGTTCGTAGACAAAATGTCCCCAAGGCTCGATGATATTCCGTCTGCAACCAGGTTCGCAATGCCTATTAACTGCTCAGTTAGAAAAGGATAAAACAAAGACATCTCATGGAATTTGACCCTCACCTGATGAGAACCGGCTAGCAGATACGGAAGAAATGAGAGAGAAGGAAGTGAAAATGGCCTCCAAGCCCGCATATACGATGCTCTTAACAACCTCTCCATCCCAAGGCTCCTTTGCTCTTCCTTTTTCATCTCTAACCTCTGATTCTTCGAGCAGTGGAGTACTGTTGGTGCCCACTGTTATTTCACTCATTTTTACTGTTTTTCTCTCTTCACCCTAATTTACTTTTGAAGATCTAATCTTTTCACAATTTTCACACCATTCATTGTAAGAACAAAATGGGTTAATTTTTATTCTTGGATAGGTAAAAATGAGCAAACAAGTATACGTGTACTCATGCATGTAAACCCCACTGACATGTGGCTAATGACAATAATATATACATGATTATAAGGTGGCCATTACAATTTCTAGCTTTTCATTGCATTTAATGTACTCAAAACAAACATATTACTAATAACTACAATTGATCAACAACGGTAACAAATAGAGTAATAAAGTTTAGACCATGGGGTTTTTCCTCTTCAATTTCACCAGTAAAAGAGTTTCCTGTTTTCCATTTGCAGATGAAGATGATGAGGTCGAGACTCTTTTGTAAACTGGTTTGATATCAAATGGCAAGAGTTTCAAGGTGATCCCCATAGCTATAAGTAGAAGTCCAGTCCCATGCTGCTCGGACAATGGCTTGGTAAATATCATGTATGACAGTAATAAAGTCACTGCCTTTCTTGCAGTTGTCACCTGTGCATTAAAGTTCATCATGTGCTGCGTTTATTTTCCACCATATATATGTGTATGTCTATGTATCAGAATTGTATGACCACAAACCAGTAATGGATAACAGAAAATGTACCATTGTTGTAGTGGCTGCACCAAAAATGGCAATCAAGGAAAGGACTGAAACTTGACCAATGAATGTGGCAATGGCTTCAAAGACCAACACGCCATACACATATAAATGCTGCTCAAGCAAGAAAGAAGATGAAAACCCAGATTTTACAGAGTAATTATTATTACCCCAAAGTGAAAAGTCTTACAATTTATTTATTTATTTTACCTCTGAACATGAATTCCATGCTTTGAATACTTCTCCTGTTAAAACCATGGGAGGGACCAATAATGGCAAACCAACGACAGTCGAGCAAAACAGCATTTCCATCTAACGTTACAACAATCTCAAAAGCATTAAATGAACATCTTTTTTGAACATGTATAAGCATCTGATAAAAAGATACAAAAATAATACCTGTGTTGTTTCAGGGTTTAGGGTAAAGATAGCTTCTTGCAAGTTGCCCAGAAAAGCATCCATTATTATAGCGCCGATCACCATCATTACACCAATCACACTGAAGTTTGGGGAAGTATGTGCATCAGCCAAGGTGAAAAGAATCAAACCCAGAACCAAGAATATTGCAGAAACATATTCATGAACTAAATATCTCCGTCTTAAACCAGGTATGAAGGCACCCATTACCATCACAGGAAGAATCTAAGATAATCATCAAACAAGTTAAAAAAAATCCAAAACAAGAAATAAATGTATATGAAGAGTAAATTGCGAACTTTTCCATTAACCTTGGTGGATTTAAACATAAGCTGTGCTGGATAGTTGAGAAAAGCCAAAGACCCCTTTGTGAGCCCATGAGAACCCATAAGAACTGCAGAGAGTTTTACATAAGTCTTCCATGGATTCACCATTTTCTTTGGAGTGAAGCCTTGAAAATAAATCAGAAAAAGGTACACAAATCCTTGGACAAATGTGAAGTACCATCCATAGCTGAAACAAAAAGATAACTAGTCGACTACCAACAAGTTTCATGTAAGATTTGAAATCTTAATTACCAAGAGAAATAAAAAAATATAGCAATTACCTGAACTGTAGTCTATTGTATATATTCCTGAAAAAAGCAGCAAATATAATGGATGAATATTTGCTGCAATCTTGAGAGAAATCCATCGTTAAGTTTTCAGTTAGCTATTAAATCATTACAATTTTTAAAAATATAATTTCATGGCACCAACTAACAAATCCAGAAAATCCTCATAAAATAATGCATTCAAACTTTGTTTGGCTTCTGAGAAAAACTTAACGGAAAAAAAGGCAATAGAAAAAAAATACCTCACAAATGCCATTGACAAGATAACCAAAGAAGAACCCAGAAGTGCAAATAAGAAACTGTTGCCATTTAGGTCTATCAGAAAGCGAAAGCCCAAACAAGAAACGAGCTTGCTCTTGATGTTTCATTGTTGTCTCTGTTTTTTGCTCATTCCAATTGATTACTTGGGAAAATATATAAAGAAAAGCTGATCACTTTCATGAAAACTAAGAAAACGAAGTTGGATCAACCGTGCATAAAGAACACATAAATCAAGTTCCCCTGCTCGATAGCGGTTTCATTAATTTAAAGTACAAATAGTAAATTATTAAATGCATGTTTATTATACTCTGCACCGGCTTTTCTAAAAATTAGAGAGAAAACAGAGAGCGCGAAGAAAGGTAAAAGAAAAGAAACTTTCGAAAAAATGGAATTTCTATTTTATAAATGGATTTATATTTATTCACAATCTAAGCATACCCTTTTTATTTATAAATTAAAAGAATATATATTAAATAATTTAAATTCACATTCTTAGGTATATTGTAACTATCCAAGTTTTCGAGTCAACTTTCGAATGTTGTTTTTTTTTAACCAATTTCGAATGTTGGCCCGATCCTTATAGCGATTTTAAATTTTATATAGTTAATCTTATCTTTAATTAAATTTATTTTGATTTTATATTAATATAATGTAATACATTATTATAAATATATAAATATTTAATTAATTATAAAATAAACAGGGATTACTTTACGGACTAAATTGAATGAAATCAAAGTTGAGAGGTAAGATTTATCATTTACCTTTATTAACAAAGTCAAACATTGATCAGAATGCCACATGCCATGTTTCTATTGGTTATTAATTTTTTTAAATGAAATTATCGATTTCCGGGTAACTCAGTAATGAAATTAAATGTTATAAGATAAAAAAAAAGAGTTTAGAAAATTTTAAAGGACAACTTGATAAATCATATATAGCTTAAGGGACAAATGATTAATTAAACCTAAAATTAAAGGTAAGAGTTAAGATAGATTAAATGATTAATGAACTATTTAATGGATTGTTATTGTATATATGAGAGTTAACAAATTTCTACAAACATTGAGCTAAAAGGTGGCCATTTGATATGAATCATTTAATTTAGTTTGTAAAATTTTAAAAACATGTATTGAACATTTTCTTTTTTAGATATAAATTAAACTTCACATTTTTAGTTGAATTTAATTAACAATATATAAACATTTAAATAAATAGTTGTATTCAAGGTTTTTATTTTATTTTATTTTTTGGGTTGCTCTTTCAATTCCTCAATATTTTGTTTTAATCAATCTAGACCAATCCGTGTCGTACACCTGACTTTGTTGTCTTTTAACTTGTTAATTTGAATCACATTAAATGTTTTTAAATGTTAGAGTAGGATTAGGTTTTGGTAAGCCGTACGATATAATATGGCAGAATTAGGCAAATATCATTAACAAAGTTATTGGCAACTTTAATTTTTTTTATATTGATTTCCTTTATATTATGAAAATTGTCACTTTGGCCATTTTTTAAGGTCATAAAGTAAAAAAATTCTTTAAAATTCTTAAAAGTTCATAAAATTCCAAAAATCATGTGATTAATTTTCAGATTAATTTTTTTGAGTTAATTGCATCATACTTCTCTAAACTATTATCCTTATTTTAAATTTGTCCTTAAACTTTTAGTACATGCATATAGTAAGGGATGATACTGGAATATTTAGAAAGTTTGGGGACCAATTTAGAATTGAGGTCATAGTTTGAGGATGGAATTAAAATATTCAAACGTTTGAGGACTAATTTAAAATGATAGTCATAGTTTAGGGATAGAATTGAAATATTTAAAAGTTTAGAGACCAACTTAAAATGAGAGTCATACTTTGAGGATATGTAGTGTAATTAGCTCTATTCATTTGGGGGGAAATATAATTATGCATGATTGCCTTTTTAAAATGATTAAATTTATAAAATTGTAAAAAAAAAGTCTTAAAAGTTATTTTAAAATTACAGAAATATAAGGAAGAATCTGAGATTCTTTCATAATTTTTTCATGTGTTTAGATTTGTTAACCTTTCCTAAATATTTTAAGACTAAAAATAAATATAGTTATATTTTTTGAAAATAAATTTAAAATTTTAATTTTTTAAAATCTTTTAGGATTTTTTTTTATATTTTTAATGTTTTTAATTATTTTTACAAGAGACAACATTTCATTAGGTCACTCTCACATTTTTAACAATTAATGGTTAGGGATTTAAGTAATGTACATAACGAAAATAAAAGGACTAAAATAATTGAAATGATAGAAATATCAAAATAATAATTTTTTATTAATTGAGTGAGTACAATATAATATCTGGTAAAAAAATAATTTTCAACCTCTTAATATTGATGGCTTGTTCCTCTAAAATTATCGGTACTCAAACCCAAGATATCAACTATTCTAATTAAATCACAAACGACATTTCAATTCTCATTCAGACAAAACCATGTAAAAACAAACCCATTGAAATCTTCCTCGGGAAACAAAACAAGTTAACAAGTTAGCATAGTCTTCTTGTTGCTTATTACATTAATTCAGAGTTATAACTCCAAAATCTAATTGAAAGCTGCTACAATTGTGGAGAACATGCAGTGAAATAAAACAAGTTAAAACAGTTTTCTTGTTGCTTTCTTCTACATTTTCTATGACCAGATACAGAACAATGTCTCCCAAATCTCTGTAAAAACCTTGACGATAATCCTATGATGCTGATGAGAGTTCCACGACTGGAAACTCAGCAACAGCTACTTCAGATCTTCCGCTCCAAACATCTATCCTTCAACGATCATCTCCACCATTGATGTCCTAAAATAATTGGACGAATCACTCGAATGTTTCACCACAACAAAGCTGTCTCTCACTTTGTTGTTGTTATTATTATCATTATCGGCTCCTTCCGATGTTAAAACCCCCATGTCGCAGCTTTGGTTCTTGGCCCTTCTCCGACGAACATTGCTACATCTTTTCCGATCCAAACGTCTCCGGTAGTGGTTATGACCGGTGAAGGGTTGTGATGAATCCGACGAGAGGTTCCTCGAAGAGAAAAGAATTTATGTTTCATCTTCACTACTAAGCCGCCGCCACCACCCACCGTGATGATTATCACCAGTTCCTTGAGAAGATGAGATGAAAAACGTGACAATGGTCGACTAATTCTTGTTAGATATTTAAATCGTGATAGCGGACACTATTGTGGTGATTGTGGGTGTCGCGGTTATATAATAACGGTCGTGGAGGGCACCACTACGACTAACATCGCAGGCGCTATCGCGTTTGAGATTAACCCTTTTATTCTTCTTTTTCCTCGTTTTGTGTCTCGTGATGCTTTTTTCCTTCCCGTAGAACCCAAAGTATTTACAATCGAAGAAAAGATTCAATGGCGATAAAGGGTTATTATCGGCAGGGCATTTCTGTTGAAAATTCAATATTAGCCTATATGTTCACACCTAAATTAATTTGATGTCATTGCTTACATCAATTTAGTTTTGATGTCATTGCTTACATCAATTTAGTTAGGTGAAAATTAAGTATTTTTCTCATGTTTTAATTTCAATGGTTTAGATTATTTAGTGTTTATTTTAATGAGTGGTTTAGATTGTTTCTTGTAACCTATAAATACCCTACTTGTATTTGAGTTTTATCATCCAACAATCAAAGCTTAATTATAAGCATTTGAAAGCTTTCTTAAGAGTTCTTCCCTTTTGCAATTTTGTGAGATTATTCTAAAGAGAGTTTTTTTCTTCTTCTTCTCGATCAATTAGAGTTTTTACT